CTGTCACATCCCTATACAGTCAGCAGTACGACTTCGCCCAAAGAACATGAGTTGCTGCTTTTAGTCTTACCGTTCTCCAGTTAACCTGTTTGGCATAGTAGAACCTACAAGAATATATGATCCAGCCAATATAGCTCGGTTGGGTCATCACGATGTGCGAGCTTGACCACCACGTCAAGGCAGCAGCCACGATCGGGTTGTCGTTTACCTGACAGGTATTCAAACAGAGGTCCTAGTCTCAACGTCTTATGGTTTGCACAAATCAAAAGCTTTACGAAAACGAGTCACATATTTCGATGTACAGAGTTTCTCTTCGACCACTCCTAGAAAACTGTACGATTATTTTTGTAGTGTGCTCATAAAAGATAAATTGAGGCGGCAATCAGTTAAGTGACGGTTTACACTCCGGATGCACAAACATTTATTCTATTGTCATATCTTACTACAACGATAAATTATTTTTTGTTACTAATTCAACGATACACACATGGTCGTTTTTTCTTCTTCTCTGTTCATAAACACGCCTATTAGACTGTTTGCTTATTTCACGTCTCCTTTATTTCTATTCCCTTATTTTCTTCATTTCCTTCTTTAAACTCAATTCAATATTCTTCTCAATTACACAGACCCGATTTATTATTATTAATATTCTACTATTATTATTCTAATTTATTTTTTGTTTTTTAAATATGGCAAGTATAATGCTAAAATTATTGAAAATTGTGTATTATTGCATTTTCTGAAGAAACCCGAAATGGTTTCTTCACAACACTTATGTACCCATAAGATGTTTGTGAATAATAATAATAATAATAATAATAATAACTAAGACGTTTCACTATAGAGAAGACTTACACTTAGGATTCTTGAAACTGATTGTACCTTCAGTTGTATTTCCAGGTGAAATGAACTTGGGTTCACTCCTTTATGGAAGAGAACACTCAATCTAATCGTTTTCTTCAAAATACTTAATAAACTATCCTCTACATCCAGTCAAGCAATTGAATATGCAGAAACTTCTAATTACGACATCCATATCTCTTAGTCATTGGTGAAACAAACCTATCTATCTATATGAACTGCTTTACCTTTAAAGTTTTCATCCTCTGGAATAATCTGACACAATCCAACCGTAAAACGAAATCACTTTCATCCTTTGTTCTCTGCACTGATGCATTCAGCTCTTCTGAAAGTGCAGTAAATATTCATGTATATCTTATTCCACAAATCAGTTTATGTGAAATTTATATGTTCATTCATTCTTGTTAGAGAATCGATCAAGTTGAACCGCCTGCCTGCTGTTAGTTCACGTTCACACTGTTCCCGTCAACTCATAGTGATTTGAATATCATCTGGCATGATCAGTACATCACTGAGTCATATGACACACGCATTGTAGTAGACTTTGTTGACATGTTTTATTAATTATTGCTTTGTTATTCCGTATCCTCTGCTTCTACCTTGTTTTCTCTGGTTATAGATAGGTACAACAAATTCGTTATGGCGCGAGAAATAACCTAAAAAGTTTTGTTCATAAATCAACAGAATGTCCACTTATGAAGAATCAGAAGTTACGGGCCTATGCACTTCATTGCCGTAATACATGTCACAATTGTACTGCCTAAACAGGTTTTGAACTAGTAAATTTGAAACAATCTTATATCACATGTTTGTTCTCTACATTTAACGTTACTATTTGTACGAAGCTGATCATGTTTGTGAACTGCTGGCATGAATTCTAGAAATATTATTTCCAGAATGTATATGCAATGTATACGCAATAATTACAAAGCGAGTTCTTAGTCTGAAGTGATGTAATTTTTTCCCGATTATTTGACCGGAAACAACTCTTAAGGTCTGTTTACTTACTTACTTACGCATGTTACACCCAATGGATCATAGGCTGCTACGAAGTAATCTGTTGGTATCGATCAATCGACAATTCGGTCAATTAAGACAAAATGGAGAACAATTTGTAACTTGCGGATAAATGCAGTGATTATTATTGACGATTAATTCATTATAGATCAATGACGAATATCATACTTATCTGGAAATTGAAGCTCTTGATTATATATCGCAGATCGGACTGTAATATGACGTACATTGTAACATGTATGTCATTATCTGATGTTACATTTTTTAAGTTAGTCAAAATTAAAGGCTAGACATTGCTTTCGAGCTAGTTAACATACATCACTAAGCCAGACCATCTCGCTTTGCTGTTCAAACACAAATATAGTTGGAGGGGGCTGGAATGCTACAGGAGCAACTTTCAAACCAACTCCGACAATCAGAAATTATCATGTAAGGATTTTGTATTTCCTCGACGCCACTAGTTCGAACAAGTGCACATATGTTCACCGTAGGCACAAAAATTAACTCCGAAGGGTTCCATATACTTTTTTGGAAAATAAGCCAGTGTCATCCGTCAAACCCATTTTTCACCTTCCCCTTCTGCAGGAATGTTTCACGCCATTGTTCAATTACATAACATAAGTCTCCGGTGCTTTGATTTGTTCAAACTGGTGATGTTTGGAAAATCGACGGAAATGGTAAACAGGAAACAAAATTGTTTCTGAACCGATTTCAGCATAGGGGGTCTATGAAAGAAATGAGGGACCATATAATATTTTAATTTAATATAGTCAAGCTTGAATACATGCGAAATCATCTGGACAATGGTAACTGAAATTATTCTGGCAGTCTATTACTTAAAGAAGAGGATCATAGGCCTATTGATTATTTCAGGTCACATGTTTTTGTACATTATAACTCGGTTTGGTAGTTCAACATTTTTATTCATTCCAGTATTGTGAGTTTGGTATACCATAGAAAGTGTAAATTGTGAGCAAGTTGAATCTCAGAATACAACATATACACTGATAAGCACTTGTCAGTAGTACCACAACAGTTCAGAGGTGATTTCCCTAACTACTACACTAGATGATATGAGATCGAATATATGAGGATAGTATCATTTGTTTAAAGATGAGACACTCACATTACTGGTGAATTTATTCAGCATAAAATGAAGTCAAAGTGATCGGTATGAACCACATGGTAAACTTTTCGACATGTTGGAATTTCGAGACTTGCTTTGGCATTCTATCTGACATAAAGTTGAGTGGTCTATCGTATCATCAGACAGACATCCCGTCCATCGATTTTGATAACCTTATTTTTAACTAGTTATCTTCTCAAGTTTTATCATCTTCATGTGTCATATTAGACCTCAAATGCCCTGGTAAGGCCCCCGAATGCCCTAGTACGGCCGAGAGTGGGGGACGTCCGCTCTCCCTCTCGAAATGCTCTCACACGACCTCGCGTATGAAGCCTCTGCCAAGGAAGTCCTACTTACTGCGTTCTCGTGGCTGGGGTGTGGTTTACGAAAATGAGAGGACGAAAAGCGAATAACTGACGCTTTAACCGGATCCCAAACCAATGGTGCACATGGGCCCCAGTATCCTGCGGGAACAAATGGCATATGAACCGATTGTTGGTCACCGACCTCCATGGGACTGCATCTCCTTACGATGCTCCACTGCCTTGTGGATCAGAACCTCAGGCCGAAGGCTCGTGGTGTGGCGCCCTAAGAGAACCACCTGCTTCGATCTGAGCACCCGGGCAGTATCACAGCCCTCGCACATATCGAATGAGATTTGTGTGGCGCATATGTATTTGGTGCCTCTTTGTACCAATATATATGTGTTGAAATAAAATAAAAACTATCTTTTTGATCATGGAATATATGACTATCTGACATTTACGTAGTGGTTTGATAGTCTGATTATATACTGTTGTGTTATGACTCTTGAAATTATCCGAAATTCTTAGAATTTATTCGAACCACAGATATGATGTTTACGAAATCAAAATTTCTGCCCGTATTTCTTACCATCGATTGATATAATTGATAGTATATTGTTTACATTCATTGCTAACCAACGTTTGTGTAATAACTTAGCAAGAAATTGTCCCCTATGATCATTGTGGTACCTCTTTAGCTTAACATAATCTGTTTTGTATTTATTGGTTGTTGTGTCTTTTAGTTTGCAAAAACTGGTATAAGTTGATTATATTGGCTTCAGAGTAATGCTGATTCCGATTCTGACGGTGAATTTTGAAAATTTTTTCATATGATGAATGAAGATCAGATTTCAGCCTGTCGATTGTATGACGGTTCGCCTATTCGCTGAAAACCGTTGGAATCGGTGTACCACATAAACAAGCAAAATTACTTTTACTAATCTTATGCAAACCAAATAATAAACTAACAAACGAAGGAAATTGAAATAACACCTATGAAAAAACTGTTCTATTCTAGAGAAATAGTATGTCGGATTGAGTAGATGTTCTCTTCATCTTCATCAGTATCAACGCTAATTAGCTCTCAAATCCTATATTGTATCTTAACTCGATTAAATGCACTTAGATAATTAGGAAGTGACATTTGACTATTAATATGTTGAAACACTGAATACTGAGAAAATCAGAGAATGTTTAGGAGCCTATCACACAGGTTAATCACTAATCCACAAACATATGTAAATCGATCCAACCTATCAACTAGTGAGAAAAACTATGGACAAGCAGAAGGATCAAGAATCAATTCAAAGAGAGAGGTCAATAAAACGAATATGTAAAGAACGACATGGTAAAGATTATCACTAACTAATCATAATCAACGTCAAGAGGACAAGTCGTCACTCATACCTAAAGAAATTCGAATATCACATTCTTACCTAAAGTTTTCCTGATCGATAACACCAAACAGCAATGAAATGCATAACAGCAGAAGTTTGGAAAGTTGAAAGGAAAAGAAAGGGAACAGAGACGAATTGTTATGAGCTAATAAAAGTAGTTCAATTGTTTCTAAACGACGGAGACGCAGGAGAGATATGGTATTATTTTTCGATTCTCTTTAGGTAGACTCATTTATCAATGTAATCCATAACTGGATATAGCACGATTTATTCTTTCGATATGTATGATATTAGTCAACAATGAAGTGAACATTTGTTGATCGGATCTCTATTGATTTGTAATTTTATACTATCATCATCTGAAACGGTTGATTTGAACTGGTTACTGCTAGTCATCAGCATTCCCTAAAGATATATCACCCAAAACAAAACGGAAGAGATAAGGAAATAGTTCTGTTGCCAGCACACTTATACAGATGGCCTAGGTAGGAAAGTGGTTGTATGAATTTACTTTGGACTGTGAGCATGAATTGCGATGGTTTTCGCAATGTGCAAAAAACGCACTTGTAAAGCACCTACACCCTATATAACTGGCGCCACAGGAGCCGTTGAATAGATAAATACTGAGGTAAGTTGATGGTGCAAACTGTGGTACTCAATAATTCTCATAAACACCTTACACCTATCATCAATATGCCCATCAAATAGATTTCATCGATCTCTCTTTTCCAACTTTACTTAATTTGTATTTTTATTCTGAATATTCAACAAAAACTCAAAAATGTCAACTTGATATTAACATTTAATTAAGCAACCGACAAATATACTTTTATTTGACAAAAGTGAAGAACGAAACAGGAGTGTTTTGTATTCTCTTAGCTAAAATATCAGTACATACTTCACTTACCTAGTTACTTACGCCTGTTACTCCTCGCGAAGGAGTATGGGCCGCTCACCAGCATTCTCCATCCAACTCTGTCCTGATCAATCCTTTCCAGCTCCTTCCAGTTGTTATTCATCCTTTTCATATCTGCTTCATTCTTGCGACGTTATGTGTTCTTTTGTCTCCTCTTTTCCGTTTCCATTCAGGATTCCTAGTTAGAGCTTGACTCGCGATGCAGTTTGAGGATTTGCGTAATGTATGTACTATACATGTCAATAGTCTTTTTCTAATTTTCTTTTCAGCTGGAAGCTGGTTTGTTCTCTCCCAGAGAAGGCTGTTGCTGGTGATATCCGACCAATGGATGTTGAGTATCTTGCGTAGATTATTATTTATAAATACCTTCTTGATGGAGGTTATAATAGTTCTTCAAGTTTCGGCTGCGTACAGTATAACTGCATTGACGTTCGTGTTGAAGTTTCTGACTCATATTGGTTAACAGTTATTTTTGGTCCCATATATTCTTCAAATAAAAGAATGTGGTCCTTGCTTTGTCATTCCTCGCCTTTACATCTGCATGTGAACCTCTTTGTTCATCGATGATGCTTCTCAGTTACGTGAACGATTATACGTTTTCGAGAGTTTTGCTGTGAAGAGTGTCTGGATTGCTGTTCTCCGTGTCGTATATGAGGGTCATGGTTTTCTCCTAGCTGTCTTTATCTGCGTTTGTTCGAATGTATGGGATAGGAGGGCTAGGTCATCAGCAAACTCTTAATCGTCCACTTGGTTCTGAGCTGTCCGTTGTATGCCGTGTTTTCTCTCAGATGTTGAGGTTTTCATAATCCAGTCGACCACAAGAAGAAAGAGGAAGAGAGAGAGAGTTGATAGCCTTGTCAAACTCCGGTCGATACTTGGAATGCATCTGTAAGCTGTCTTCCATGCACGATCTTGCGCTGTAGTCCGTCGTATGAGTTCTGAATAATGTTGACAATGTTATCAGAAACTCCATAGTGTCAAGGAATTTTCCAAAACGGCCTCCTGTTTTCAATGTCAAATGCCTTTTCATAATCAATGAAGTTGATGTACAGTGACGATTTTCACTCAACTGATTGTTGGACGATGAATCGTTATGTTGCAATTTGGTTTGTGCTGTACAAAGTAGTACGAAATGCACTTGTAGTACGGAAATTTCACGAATCCAGAATCATCAAAATATCATTCAAAACAAAGAAAGATGAAATTACAATGAAAGTTAATCAGTGTTATGCACCCACCAATCATTGCAACGATGACAATAAAAATCAATTCTCTGAGAGTCTGCAATCAATCTTAGAGAAATGCCCAAGAAACGACCTCACCGACAATGTCGGAATAAATAACATCAGATGTGAAGATATCATGGGATGACATGGACTTGGAGAGAGAAACGATGATGAAAAAATATTTGCAAATCTATGTGCATTCAAATAATTAGTCATATATCCATATAAACGTATACACAAAGTTACATTTATCTCACCTCACCACACCACAGAGAAGCAGATAGATCATATTTGCATCAATAAAAAATTACAAAGGACAATGGAGGATGTGAGAACCAGGAGAGGATCATTTATAACTTTGGATCAATACCACGTTCTGGTCCATTGAAAACAGTAACTGATGATAAACTGGACGATTGGACAAACAACACTACCAAGGTTCAGTACAGCCTTCCTTCGTGATACTGATAAACTCAATCAATTCAAGATAGCTCTCAACAACAGATTTCAAGCCTTACAGGATGAGCTGAATAAAAAGAAACTACCAGGGAGGAAATCTTGAAAGTTATCAAATGGGCATTGGCTTCAACGTGTCAAGAGTTTCTGGGCCGGAAGAAGCACCATTATAAGGAAAGGATCTCTATAGAAACACTAGACAGGATCAAAGAAAGGAGTTGCAAGAAGACAGCGAATAACAACAGCCGAATACGAGCAGAGAAAGTTCAAGCACAAGCTGAGTACATAGAACCAAACAAGCCAGTGAAGAAAAGCATTTCAGCCGACAGACAGAAGAACGTGGACGAACTAGCAACGACGGCAGAGAAAGCCTCAAGAGAATGACTTATGAAACAGCTTTAAGATACAGTGAAGAAAATAGCAGAGAAATATAGTAAATCAAAGAGACCAGTCAAAGACGAGAGCAGGCCAATCACTGAAATACAACAACTGCGTAACAGGTGGGTAGAGTAGATCAGCTGTATTGAATCTACTGGACATCGAAGTAGCACACACAGACCTTCCTAAAGATGTCGTTTCATCGAAGAAATGATGATGGCCCACAGACAAATGAGGAGCAAGAGAACAGCAGTGCCTGCTAAAATAACGTCAGAAGAACGGTAGTCAGACATTGAAGCATCTGCAAACATGCTGTAAAAAATCAATCCAAGAAACTTGACGCTTGTCACTGCTACTGATGTGCACAACAGATGTTCAATTCCAGTTCAATAACACCATTAATCGCCAAGTCGATGGCGTAGCAATAGGAAAACCTCTAGGTCCAATTATGGCAGATATTTTTATGGGTTATCGTGGAAACACGGTACTTAAAAAGGCAATTAGCTAAACAGCGGAATACTCGAGATATGTGGACGACACATTTATTATCTGTAATAATAAACAACATGCAATCCGTCTGCTCAAAAAACTCTTCAATAACGCTCATACTAACATACATTTTACTATGGAGCACGAACAGAACGACATGTTCCACTTTCTTGGTGTTTCCATTAAACGCAGGGGAGACGGGACAGTTCAACGTTCAATTTATAGAAAAAGTAATTGGAATAGCCTCTACCTGAATTTCAATAGTTTTTGTCCAATAAGTTGCAAGAAGGCGTTGGTTAAAACACTATTTTACAGGACAGAAAAGATATGTACCACGACAAACTGGAAGGAGAATTAATGGACGCAGAAAAATGTCAAACAGAAAACTTTTATCCACAAAAGTTTATTGACAAATATAAAAGGCCCAAGGAAAGGAAGACGGTAATGACTACTGTCTATAAAAAGCCAGTATATATAAATCTTAACTTTAAATAGATAACGTCGCACAAATAATCAACAGGAGACTGGACATCGCTCTAGCCAGAAAATATCCGGTTGCTGAACGTTTAACTCTCTATAAAACATTATGCTCAATAACCTAATCAAAGATCGACAAGCAACCCTTTCATGTCACCGACAACTGTATTTATAAATTTACGTGTATCTGCCAAAGTAGCTACATCGGCCGAACTGAAAGGAGAGCATTTCTTAGATTTTTGAACGTGTTCCGAAAAAGCTTGGAACAAGGGAAAAAAGACTATGGTCAGTGCGGCCGCCGAACATCTTGATGCAGGACATCGAGTAGTTACCTAACAATCCTTTGAGGTGATTAGTAAGCAGCCCGTCTTCTTAAGTTCGCTGAAGCCATTGCCATCAGGCGTCAAAAACCTGACCTATGAATTCAAAAAGAGACGGTGTTTAATCTTTCCTTGACTTGATGACAAATATTCCTTCACTGCAAATTAATTTTTTTCATTTCTCCTTTCTTAAGAGTTTTCGCTCAACTTGCATAAGAATTTCATAGTTTCTATGTTCATTGTTCACACTATGCATATTTATGTACATACACTCAATCGAAAGTATATAAACATTAAGTTTTATTCATACCTCAGCTTTTTGAAAATCATAATCTAATGAAAATTGTAACTTTCCAAAATATTGTTTCTCCTTTTCATGATCACCCGCTTGTTCTTGTTCATTCATTTCCATGTCGGTTTTCAATGCAACCTTATCCTGATTGTGAAATGAAAGGCAGTTCAATATACACTTCACTTTAACAAGAATATAAAGAGTAGTTTCAAGATAAAAAATACTGGCAAGTGTATCAAAATAGTCAGTTTTATGCCCGGTTACTTAAATTTTCTATTCATTGAATCATATCAAGGAAGTCTACAATTGTAGATATGGTTCAGATTAGCGACCAATGCCAGTGAATTACTGTTGTTGACAACTTTCATAGTTCTGTAAATCTGTTTTACTTGTAACTCGTCATTTGGATGTACCTGCACTGGAACAACAGATTGATCAACTGCAGTCCTAAACATCAATGGGAAGACACAAGCAAGTAACACCAATAGAATTTACACTTCACCGTAATGCACAAACGGGTTGCTATCAGCACTCAGTAGCTAAGTGGATAACGCGATGGCGTTTGAAACGAACGAAACTGGGCTCGAGTCCCATTGTGAGCATGAATTCTGAGATGCATGCACATCCAGATGACGAGTCCCAAATAGGGTGAGACGCGCATCGTGTATTATATTGCTGACCACAATCCATCTTTTCCATAGTTCTGTATTCATTATCAGTTTATCATGTAACTTTGAATATATCTATCATAAATCTGCACACCAACCACTTTAATCGACATTTCAACAGTATTCACATAAAGTACACAAGTCGTTAACAATTTTGTGACCTTCATTTCCTTTTTTTCTTTTAAAGTGATCAATTCAAATTCTTCACATATTATCATGTTTATACACTCAGTCAGTTATTATTTGGTATTTAAAATCCTTTCAATGGATTATTTCACGAAGTAAATTACAGACATTCAGTTCTTTCAATCAGTTGAATTGCCAGAACAAATACCTAATTTATTAAGGTATGATCTAAAACGAATTGTAAGGCATGTACAAACAGTCAAACTTAACCACTCAAGCTCCCAAGTTTCGGGAACTTTGAGGAAATTTCGGGGAATTCTGGGCAAATTTTGGGGGAATCACCAAAGTCAAATGAGCTTGAACAAGGTTAAAGAGGAATTTTAGGGAAATATTGGGGAATTTCCCTAAGTCTGAGGAAATTTTGAGGTTTTAGTGCCATTTCTCCTAAATTTCCTCAAAGTTTACTATAGCGGCTTTCCTGAAATTTCTTCAAGATGAGTCAAATTCTCCCCGAAATTGGGAGTTCGGGAAGGAATATATAGGTAAGAATTCATGTATTTATGTTTGTCCATCATAGCAGTGAGTTACTTCAGGATGATAATTTATGATTTTTGCCAAGTCTCACTTTCGGGGAAAATTCAAATCACTTCGGGGAAATTTCCGGAAAGCCGCTATGGTGAACTTTGGGGAAATGGTACAAAAACCCCAAAATTTCCCCAGACCTGAGGAAAGCCTCCAATATTTCCCCAAAATTCCTCTTCAACCCTGGTCAAGGTGATTTGACCTTGGGGATTTTTCCAAAACTTCCCTCAACATTGGTGAAGGTCATTTGACTTCAAGAGTTTCCCCAAAATGCCCCAAAATTTCCCCAAACTTGGGAGTTCGGGTCGAACACACAGTCAACGTGCTCGGATTTTTATTATCGTTATAAAAGATTTATTCGTCAATCATATTATCGTACTAAAAGGAAGATTAGATGGAACATTTAAATGAAATGTACATAGAAAGTAATCACAAATACTCCATAATAAACACCGTCCGGAGTTCCCAAGTTTGAGGGAATTTCGAGGAATGTTTGGGTATTTTGAGGAAACTCTCGAAGTCAAATGACCTTCACCAGTGTTTGAGGAAATTTTGGGGAAATTCTGGGTTTTTGTGCCATTTCCCCAAAGTTCACTATATCGGCTTCCACAACGTTTCCCCTAAATTGGGAGCTCGGGGAGTGTCTCATTCTGATATTTTGCAAGAGAAAGTCCTAGTAATGATGTTATGATTGCATCATCCGATTAACGATAGTAATCATAGTTTCAATAAAAGTGGTCATTCATTATACACTTGAAAGTCAACTCTTTTATGTTTGTCACAGTGATTGCGGTTCTTTCATCACTTCACATAATGCACGTTTGTTTCATCACAATTTTATTTATCCACAACAAATACATATGAACACTTATTTGGCTTTTTAGATCAATAAGTAAATTTTCATTTATATTCGATTAACAGACTAAACAGTTTCAAGAGTAAGAAACAGTCTTCATTATCGGATTGTGATGTGTCATATGTACTGAGAAGTGACAACCGACAGCTACCGGGTCAAACTCACACAGTCTCAAACAGTAGTAACAAATGGTACTGTGGTGTGAGCTACTTATATTGATATAAGTAGTATAGAACGTGCGTTAAAAGAACGTAATGTCTAGCAGCGGAAGATGGCGAAGATCAAGTAAAGTAGAGCGAGAACACAATGGAATTTGTAAGAAAATGCATGAACAATGGAATGGGAGACAATAAATTGGTGTTTGCAACAGAAACAGTCCAGTTTCGATTGATGCATGAATATTTTGCAAATTGACGATTTACTATATGGTATTCAGATTTTGATGAGATAGTCTGTAATTGTTGTGTCAAGTATATCCGTTTGACCTCACCCGTGTTCTTGTTCACTACAGTGCTAATGATTGCATAGCCATAATCCAAAGTAATTCTAGTTGAAATAATACTACTGACTGTTGACCTACTAGTTTCAGTAGTTAAACCTCTGCATTTACAACTGAAGGTTCTGGGTACTATTCCTGGAAGAGTGGTAATTATCTATTATTGAAGAATCTCTTACTAGAACAAAACGGCTTTCTGTTACTTTTCGCTTCTAAACGGTATCGCAAACTAACACTAATCAAGGGAGAATGCAGCCTACAAGTTTATCATTGAATAATCATGAAAAAAGGTTAAACACAAAATAAGAGGCAAACCTACTTGACTTTTTAATGCTTCTGATAAATGAGCTGCTGTTTTTAAATCCGCTGCTAATTTTCCACCAGCTAATGACATTTTTTTACCATCTTTTTTTGATCGACGCTTTTTCAATAAACAACGTTTACGAAACCAAATTAATAATAATAAACCAAAAGTGACCCCCAGTATAGAAAGACTGACGATACCACCATAGGACACTTAAAATTAGATAAAATATGAATGACACATTATGTAATCAAAAGAAACCAATGGAAAAAACAATAAATTAATGGACAAATTTTGTTAAAAATTGATCATATATATCAAAAGTTCCAGTTAGTTAGTACTGTGGTTTATGCTACTTATATATTAACATAAATAGTAGATGATGTTAGTCGTGAATAAAAGATTTGGCAACAGAGAGACAAGAGGATCGAACAGTAAAGAATAGAAACAGGATAAATGCAAGAACAATGAAGTCTGATTGATTTTGAGACAATCGATTGACATTTTGCATTGGGCATTTACTGTTTGATTGTTTGATTTTATTAACAAGTCCTGTAATTTTGTGTTAAATACATTCGATTTCCCCCATCCATGTTCTGTTCACTACAGTACTAGGGCACGTTTCACGAATGAAATTTAAGATTCATACATAATATTCATTGACATTATAAGCAAATTTTAATGTTAAACTAAATGAATTGTGTATATCCGTTAGGTACAGAATGAATGTTTCGTCTTATTTAAACCCTGTCAACTGGATGTAACTATAACCTAGTATTGATATTTACTGTGAGAATCGAATACATTACTGACCTTTTCAAACTTCAACAAGTTCTACACTGATTTACTGTATCTCAGTCATGTGTCTAAGTTTGATGAAAGCCCACAGACGCAAGAAATTTGAGAGCTCATTTTTATTTTCAACTTCGCCTGTAGCTCTTCTTCGGATACTGCCGGTCCCAAGCACGGGTAAAGGAGGAAGGTTGGGCATGGGGTTAGCGTCCCCATCCCGTAGAAAACTAACTCGCTAAAAAAATGCTTACCAGAAAAAATAATTCAAACCATTTTAACTCTGCCCTGGGAGTTAGTAGGTCTTCTTTTAGATAATTTATGACGCTTCATGGTGAAAGCCGAGTTCCTTCGAAAGCCACGAAGCCGATGCCTCTTCTAACAACCAGAGCAAAACTTTTTGTGGGTACGTGGAGCGTCCGAACAATGTGAGAGACCGAGAAGACCAGTCAAATAGCAACGGAAATGAGGAGATATAATTTGGCAGTACTGGGAATCAGCGAAACCCACTGAACCCAAGCTGGACAGTAAAGACTATCTACGGGAGAGATGCTGCTATACTCCGGTCACGAAAAGGAAAATGCTCCACACATTCAGAGAGTCGCTCAAATGCTGTCCAAATTAGCACGAAATGCACTTGTAGGATGGGAATTTCACTGATCCGGAATCATCAAAGCATCATTCAAAACAAAGAAGGAGGGGATTTTAATGAAAATTATCCAATGTTATGCACCCACCCATCCTTCGAGATACTGACAGACTCAATGAATTCAAGATAGATCTCAACAACAAGTTCCAAGCCTTACAAGATCTACTGAAGGAAGAAACTGCAATGGCATCAAAAAAGCATTAACTTCAACGTGTCAAGAGTTTCTGGGCCTAAAGAAACACCATCATAAGGAGTGGATCTCTATAGAAATTCTGGACAAGATCAAAGAAAGGAAGAACAAGAAGGCAGCGATTAACAACAGCCGAACACGAGCAGAGAAAAACCAAGCACAAGCTGAATACACAGAAGCAAACAAGCAAGTGAAGAGGAGCATTAGAGCCGACAAGAAGAAATACGTGGAAGAACTAGCAACGACGGCGGAAAAAACTGCTAGAGAAGGAAATATGAAACAGCGAAGAAACTGTCAGGGAAATACAGTAAACCAGAGAGACCGGTCAAAGACAAAGAAGGCAAGCCAATCACTGAAATTCAACATTAGTGGAAAAGATAGGTAGAATACTTCGAGGAACTTCTGAATAGGCCGGCTCCAACGAATCCAAAGGACATCGAAGCAGCACACATAGATCTTCCCATAGACGTCAACCCACCAACGAAGGGAGAAATCAGAATGGCCGTCAGACAAATCAAGAACGGGAAAGCAGCAGGACCCGACAACATACTAGCTTAAGCACTGAAGTCAGACATCGGAGTAACTACAAACATGCTTTACCTTCTAATCAAAAAGATTTGGCAGGAGGATCAAGTGTCGATGGACTGGAAAGAAGGGCATCTCGTCAAGATTCCAAAGAAAGGAGATCTGAGCAAATTTGAAAACTACAGAGGCATTACACAGCCGTCATTACCAGGGAAGGTCTTCAACAGAGTATTGCTGAACCGGATGAAAGATGCAGTAGACGCCCAACCTCGAGATCAACAAGCTGGATTCCGTAAGGACCGAATTGCGATACTACGGATCATCGTTGAACAATCAGTTGAGTGGAACTCCTCACTATACATCAACTTCATTGATTATGAAAAGGTATTTGACAGTATGGATAGAAGGACGTTATGTGAACTTCTTCGACAAAACGGAGTTCCAGAAAAGATTGTCAATATTATCCGGAACTCATACAAAGGACTATAGTGCATGGTCGTGCTTGGAGGACAGCTGACAGATGCATTCCAAGTAAGGACCGGAGTCAGACAAGGCTGTCTACTCTCTCCCTTCCTTTATCTCCTGGTGGTCCACTGGATTATGAGGACCTCGACATCTGAAGGAAAACACGGAATACAATGGACAGCTCAAAATAAATTAGACGATTTGGATTTCGCAGATGATCTAGCCTTCCTATCGCATACACACGAACAGATGCAGACAAAGACAGCCAGTGTAGCAGCAGTATCTGCATCAGTAGGCTTTCGCATACACAAAGGGAAAACCAAGGTTCTGAAATTCAAAGTGGAGAACAGCAATCTAATCACTCTTGATGGTGAAACTCTGGAAGATGTAGAATCCTTCACACACCTGGGAAGCATCATCGATGAACAAGGATGCTCAGATGCAGACGTAAAGGCAAGGAATGGCAAAGCAAGGGTCGCATTTCTACAATTGAAGAACATATGGAACTCAAAACAACTTTCAACCAATATCAAAGTAAAAATCTTCAATACCAACGTCAAGGCAGTTCTACTGCATCAAGAGACAAGCACTAACTCGGAATCCTGAAGGGAAGCGGAAAAGAGGAAGGCCTAAGAACATATTACGTCGGATAATAGAAGCAGATATGAAAAGAATGAATAACGACTGGAAGGAGTTAGAAATGATTGCCCAGGACAGGGTTGGATGGAGAATGATGGTGAGCGGCCTATGCTCCTTCACGAGGAGTAACAGGCGTAAGTAAGCAAGTAATTTTTATTTTCGAAAGATGTTTGTATTGTATACAGTTTGTTTTTGATAAATAAAACATCACATTTGATTCATGAGCTAATCAGCTTTAAATCTGGAAGCACTGGGCATCTTTTTCATCATAGTGTGGAACTCCTCAGCTATGACCGCTGTACTTCAACCATATGACATATGAGGCAGTTACCGACTGGAGACATTAAAAGATGTTTGCACAATGTCTCATATTGATTGAGGTTCAACAATAATAACTTTGTATGGAGACTCATTGGTTAAGAGACTAGGAGTTCACGTGCAAGACTGAAATCCCTGAGTTCGATTCCTAGTCGCAGAATCATAGATGAAAGCTGTCATAGAGTCATATTACTTAAACGAATCGATCATGTGATTCTTCTATGTTTTTAATGATGGTCTAATATTGATCCGCATTATGAATACCGATGAAATTTAGCCACTTACACTAATTGCTATGACATGCAAACTAAGTCTAATTATATACATCAACACAATGATGTATAGATACACATAAGTATGTAGTCATTGAATAAATTCTGAAATAGGATAAAACACATAGTTCCCAATTTTTCACTACTCACTAATATTATCAACAACAAAAAATATAGTCACATATATAATCAATAAATCAATGAATTTTTTCTTTCTTTCTCTCTCTCTCTCTTATCAACTAAACAGCTTAATGATTGTTATTATTATTATTTGAAGAAAAATTTATTTCAGCTCAATTTTTCATGCATAAATTCATGGTAGACACCATAGAAAAAAAAAATAAGAAAGAAAAATAATAAATCGTTGTTATATTAGTACAAGAAAACAAAAGAGAATAAATGGGTGAGACAAGGTGAGAGCGAGAGAGAGAAAGAAGTAAAGATAAAGGGAGAGAGAGAGGGAGAGGGAAAGAGAAAGAGAGGAAGATGAACGGAGTGAGAAAGAGAGGGAAAGAGCGAGAGCGAGAGAGAGAGAGGGAGAATGAGAGACAACGCCATGAAATGTAAACAATTTATCTAGAGAGAAAAAATGTGTTATAGAAAATGGTTGTTCTTTTATTTTAATTTTAAAAAAAAATAAAAACAAAATAGATAAAAATAATTTTTTAATAACAAATAAAAAAAATGATAAAGAGAGAATATTGAATGAATGATTGAGTTGATGTTTACTAAGCAATTTATCATATTATGGAAATGAATCTTGTATGATAGAATCTCCGAAAAACCTCTTCTGATAATAATCATCAGCTCAATAGTGGCTGACTTCAAGAGAGTTCTAATGAGAAGACGTTACAAGTGGAGTTCAACCAGATCTGTTGTGTAATAACAACTCACTGAAGATAATGGTGTACGGTAGCGCAACTTCGTTGATTGGTTGAAGTTAGACATTAACACCGTTGGATGTCAGCTCAATGGTCTAGTTGGTGAAGCGCCTGGCGCAAAACTGATAGGTCCTGAAGTTCGAATTTCGCGGGGTGCTGAATCATGGATGCCTACTGCTGAGGAGTCCCATACTAGGACAAAACAGTCGTCCAGTGCTTCCAGGTTTTCCACAGTGATCTAGCTTCAATTGACTCATGATTTCAATCAAAAAATGTATCAAACTGGAGTATCGAAGAACAATTGATTAACATAAAACTAATGCATATATTACGAAATGCATAAGTCCTAAGTACAATCTGCAAATAGGGTATCGAATGTAAGTGAATAGGAAGTCTCAAAAGGTGTACTTAACGCTTCTTCATATTTCTATGGTTTTTAAACTAAGATCAATCGATGTAATAACAACAAATTATAAACATAATTAAAGAGTTATAAAAAAAGTCAAGAAAAAAAAGTAAACTTACATCCTTTATGTTCAGTTCTTTCAATTGGATGCTTTAAAATTAGTTGTTGATGTTTCAATGTAGCTTGTCCAGTTTTTGTATGAGTTATATCAACTGGTGCTGAGAATGATCTATAAACTTGTTGTGTTTCACTATCTTCTATACGTGATATATATGGTGTGGATAATGAAGTTAATGATGACCATGAATTCATATTAACTTCTGTTGTTTTCTTAGAATTTACATCGATAGTAGGATGTGTAGTGATTGTTCTTAAATTCTCTTTATGATAATCTACTGTAATATAATTAGTAGTATCATTCATGATGGTTATATTATCTGTTATATTCATCATTATTGCTGTTGTATTCACTATCTCAATCTCATTGATCATTGATTCAGTCGTTGAACTGACACTATGAGTTGTACTATTTAAAACAGTTTCATTATGAACATGTTCATTATTCAATTGTTGATTATTCATTGAATCATTGAAATGATTATCATTTATTGGAATATTCAAAGATGTTAAAGAATCATTGAATAAAAGTTTCATGATTATGGATAGAAATGGAAATTATTCTGGATGATTCTCTTTTCTTTTTGTTTTTTGTATTTAACAAATCATTCACTGTTTCAATATCTAGAAAAAAAAAACAAGTCATCATAAGACATTAATACATCATTGTTCCTCTGTTCATAGTTCGCTAACTATCGTCATAAACATAACGATACACTTTCATAACAATGATGGTCTGTTTATCAGTTGGTAACTTTAGGAATCGATTTGTAGAGTACAATGAAAGTTTGACCATGTCGGATGTGAATTAAAATATCACTTCAAGGAGAGGATGATGATTGCGTAAAATATTAAATGAACTGATGCTAAAATAGTGGAACACTAGAAGTTTATGTGCTAAAGGTTCAACCCCTGGTAGTGTTATGCACATGCACTAAAGAGCAGTATGAAATTAGGACGAAACATCTATCTTATGCTTACTGATTTTCAATTGTTGTCTAAACAAAGTTATTTTGTGGTATGAAATTCTAAATGAAGAACAACTCTATTTAGAATGATGAGTTCTAAACTACCGATAATGTTGTGGTTGCATATACCTTTCTGATATTCAATTACATAATCACAAATATAATGCGTCATTCATGTTCATGTAACGAGTAAGAAATAAAAACATGAATTAATAATATTGTTCTTCATAAAATGGATTATTCATTAATTCAATACTTTAAATAACTCCTCCTGGAGTCCCTGCTGGGGCTACTGACGGTCCCAAGCTTGGATTAAGTAGGAGGGTTGGGCGTATGGTTAACGACTCTATCCCGTAGGAAACGAATTCTCCAAGAAAAAAAACGCTAACCAATACATTAAAGTTTTCTCAATCGAACTGCCTTATGTTTTTCTTGTTTGATTGGAAACAATCAATCATAGCTGGCTTTTTAAATTTTAACATGTAATAATACTTGCAAAGTAAGTGTTTTATTGAAAAAGAAAAGAAAAGAAAACATTTAAGAATGTACAAATACAATATCCTATTTACTCGAACTCAGGTACATCCAGCCGACGAGTCCCAAATTGGACGAAACGCGCGTCAAACTGGATTCCACTGATAGCCACTATCCATCATTGCTTACAAAATATTTATAGTAGCTTCTAACTAGAAATTTTTGTGACACATATTTGTGTTTGCAGAAAAGTATTAAAATTCGGCTCCCAAATCCCCTGGTACAGCCGAAGGTGTGAAGAGTCAGTTCTCCTTTTTAGAATGCTTTTATATGTACACCAATACATATGAATTGCCAAAAAAAGCTTACTCACTACGATCTCGTGTCCAGGGTGTTGTTTGCGAAATCGATACGACAAAAAGCGAATGTTCTGTGATTCAACTGGTTTGGTGGACCCTCCGTGTCTACCTAGAAGAGCAGGAAAACCCTGATTCCAAACCGATGGTGCACATGGGTCCCAAAATCCTGAGGGAACAGAAGGTGAATGATTCCATTGTTGGTCACTGGCTAACATGTGAGGGAATTTCCTCACGTTGCTCCACTGTCTTCTGTATCAGACCTTTAAGTCGAAGGCCTCCTAAGAAAACCTTCTGCTTCAGCCTGGGCACCCGAACAGTATCACAACCATATTCAAATCAAGTGACTTGTAAGGCGCATATTTATTCTGCGCCGATCTTGTTCAATATTTATGTGTTCAGATAAAATGAGTTTTCGAAGTTGTGAAGAAATCCTGTTTTATAAATACTATGCGATACAAAATCTATTTGAACTTGAAGTTGATTTCAATTATTTTAAGTCAAAAGAAATATCTTTAGCTACAAGACTTAGAAATCCATTTCATAAAACTCTCTTTGAACGGTATATCAATGTAGTTAAGAAATGAATAGATCAAGACAAAATAATTAGTAGAAGAAGGGCTTTGTGGGGATTGTAGTAATTTCAACAGTTGATATCATGAATCAATTGAAGGTACAATACCCTGTAAATCCTGGAAGCACTGGACGACTGAGCACTCCTGAGGAGTCTCACAATGGAACGAAACGGCCTTTCAGTTCTTCCAGATTTTCCATGGATTTTCCATGAACTCAATTATTGACAAAATAATTACTCTGTACATTTTCATTCTAATGAATATTTTCGTTAAATTTTATTTTATTCAACGTTTCACATACATAACTTATTGGTACATAATCATCAGAGTAATACGATGATTGTAATTATCCATCAAGAAACTACCAGACCTTCATCTTATTTTAGATGGACTAATTGATTGATTAAATTCAATCATCAGTAAATGAATAAAAAAGTTCGATAATGTAATAAGAAGATGAAGATGATCAGAACTGAAGACAATGGTGTACGGTGGCGCAACTTCGTGGATTGGTTGAAGTTAGACATTAACACCGTTGGATGCCGGCTCAGTGGTCTAGTGGTTAAATGCTCGCGCGCGAAGGCAGTAGGTCCTGGGTTCGAGCCCCGCGAGGTGCGGGATCGTGGGTGCGCACTGCTGAGGAGTCCCATACCAAGACGAAACGGCCGTTCACTGCTTCCAGGTTTTCAATGGTGGTCTAGCTTCAACTGACTCATGATTCCAACTTGTGATATTTGATGATAGATTAGCATAATACATTTCGAACAATCTGATCACACATTATATACTTGGTTAAAAAATTTATGTCTGAAGAATAAAAGGTCAACTAGACTGCAAATGGGGTAAGATGAGACCAGGATAATAATAATAATAATAATAATAATAATAATAATAATAATAATAATAATGTGGACAGAATTTAAAACCTAAGTCAATATTACCAGGGTAGGTTTAAGGTGAGAACAAGCTGTATTTTGAATACACAAAGGGGATTTGAATTTTCGCATGACTAAGACTTCAATAAACCTTAGTATACTATACTTTTATACAACAGCATAAACGCCGAGTTAAGATTATTCTTATGGCCCATTTCGATTATATGTTTCGCAATAGAGGATGATCGATGTTTATCCTCTTATTATATTAGGTCACTTAATTCTAATTGTTTCTGCAACCAGTTTGGTATATGTTCACATAACCTAATTTTGAAATCACCATTAGTCCTACCTATGTACATGTGACTACAAACACATTGAAATTAGTAAACATAGTAGGATGGAAGCATGAACCTTTTTCTTTGACCTTTGTTGCACAATATGTTTTGTTGATTATTGATTTAAACTTTTGTTTTAATAAAAGTGGTAAGGTGATGTAGATAGGCATTATTTTTGTTTTTTTACCAAGACTACAGTAGTTCTCATTGTATCATGAACTTACCATTTATTTATGAATTTCAGAAAAGAGCCATTTTCCATGTATGTTCTATATAACAACCTAACATTAATAAATCATTCATAAACTCCTATATGCAATGCTCAATAAAATTCACCTACTTTAGTTAATGTGAGACTGATAATAACCTTAGCAACAAAATTTGCTTTTCGTTCCCTCATGTTACACCCCCTCTCATTAGTTACTAATTAGGGCGTTGATTAGAAAAAAAGTAATCAAACATTCAGTCATCCAGACTAAATTATACATCTAACATGACCAATTTTGTAAACATTAAATTATTCACCGATTGAAATCACGAGTCAATTGAAGCTAGATCATCATGGAAAACCTGGAAGCAGTGGACAATCGTTTCGTCCTATTATGGGACTCCTCAGCAGTGCGCATACACGATTCCGTACCCCGCGGGATTCGAACTCAGGACCTATCAGTCTTAGGTCAGGCGCTTAACCAACTAGACCACTGAGCCGGCATGCAACGGTGTTAATGTCTAACTTCAACCAATCCACGAAACGACCGTCCAGTGATTCCAGGTTTTCCATGGTGTTCTAGCTTCAATGAACTTATGATTTCGACTATTGAATTTACTATAATATCCATAAAACCCATTTGGAACATTTTGTACTTTTATTGAATTTCTCAATGTATGCGTTATTATTATTATTATTATTATTATTATTATCATTATTATTATTATTATTATTATTATTATTATTATTAACGTTAGTTATAAAACATTTTTCCCAATTCAAAAGTTGACCGATAATTGATATTAGTCAATATATGCTCGCTAGTGACTGGCTTCAAGATGTATATCCTGGAGTTCTAATGAAAAACAGTGACCGATACAGTGCGACCTGGTCACTTGTGAGATAGTAACTCACTGATAACAATGGTGGATATGTCGCTTAATTTCGTGGATTAGTTGAAGTTAGACATTAACACCGTTGGATGTTGGCCGGCTCAGTGAGTGGTCTAGTGGCTAAATGCTCGCGCGCGTGACTGATATGTCCTGAGTTCGAATCTCGCAAGGCAGGATTGTGGATGCACCCTGCTGATGAGTCTCACAGTAGAATGAAACAGCTATCCAATGCTTTCAAGTTCTTCATGCTGATCTAACTTCAATTCACTCATGATCTCAACAACTGAAACATTCTACTGACAACATGAATCACTTTTGTTTTTGTTTTTCTTGAGTAAAATAGATAAAATCGATTTTGATTATTTTCGATTTGGTCAAGATTATTGATTTATTGAAAAATATTTTCTAATTTTTTGTAATTGGTTTATTTAATAATTTTTATCAATGTAAACAATGATTCCATTTCAATGTATAAATGCAAATAATAAACTATCATCATAAATAGATTTTCAGTAATATTGAGATCAATCCATAATCTACTAATGAATATTCAATGTTGAAGAGTTTTTGATAAGACTATACATTTATGAACGACATTTGAATAATGCTGTACTAATATTGAAAGTGTTCACTAAATAACCAAAATTAAATGACGGTTATAAACCAGTGTATAAGGAATTAGAATTAAAATAAGAAATTTGATATGTGGAATTTTTATCACAAACTAATATCAGCTATAATGCTATGAATCGATTTAGCCAAATTTGGTGAATGAATTTCGCGCCAAAATCCAAGACTTATTATCTTACATCTGATTGATTCGTTCATAAAGTATAGTTTTGCCGAATTG